TTTTCACGAATGGTTAGTTTGCAAAATTATCTACTTCGTTATATAACAAATTACAAGAATATCCTAATATTAACGATGATCATTTCAGCTTGTAATTAGCCGTAATCAGTTCTAATTAGGAAGAGTTATCTACAATGATAACTATTGGTTATAGCTTTAATTACCTGGTTTGTATAATGTATTCATTTATTCATGCCAATAAATAATATTATGAACACTGATAATTCTAATTATCATTTTGACATGAGTCTCAATAAATTAGAGAGAAAATGACAGTAAATTGGTAATTGTTGCCATATTTACCAGTAAATTGGTAAATCAAATTCTAAGTTGTAAATCTAAGCTAAATCAAATGTACTCTAAGCACAGCTCATGTCATAGGGATCTGAATTCAACAGGATCTAAATTGGTTGTCTGATTTCAAGAGGTTCTAAATTGGTTGTCTGATTTCAACAGGTTCTAAATTGGTTGTCTGATTTCAACTGACTCTAAATTGGTTGTCTAATTTCAAGAGGATCTAAATTGGTTGCCTGATTTCAAGAGGTTCTACATTGGTTGTCTGAATTCAACAGGCTCTAAATTGGTTGTCTGATTTCAACAGGTTCTAAATTGGTTGTCTGATTTCAACAGGCTCTAAATTGGTTGTCTGATTTCAACAGTCTCTAAATTGGTTGCCTGATTTCAACAGTCTCTAAATTTGGTAGTCAACTACTTCTATGTTTCTCTCATTGACGGAATTTTCTTAACAATGTCAAGTATGGAGCTTGGGAATACCCTTTGGTATCCCTGGTGACAAGTCTACCTGTTTAGTCTACCTGTACACCAACTACACCATTAAACTCACAACTCAATTCCTAATTAAGTCATATTTTCCTTCGAAAACAATTTAGTATAACACTGTCCCACCACCGCCCTCAACCGGACGGGTATGGGGTGCATAATAAAGAAATTGAAATTGATACAAATAGATTCTTCTGGCAAAGTTTTAATTGATAATTGATAAGTGAAAGAGTTTGAAGAGATTACATAGTGGTTTGTTGTTCAAACAGTGAGCTAGTGTTCATTTGTGATTGGTGTGAGTGAACAAGAGTGAACAAGAGTGAACATCTTGAACATATTCCGTGTTCACTACAGACAGCATATGGCAGGTATCCTATAGTTCACAAACATTGAACAATAGATACCTGGATAACTATAGATATTGAAATCTATTTGCTGATTTCATAATCATTCATATCACACATGTTTACATTCCAATACCCTGTGGCTCAGTATAACTATCGAGGTTATGCATTGGGATCGAACTTGCGTCTCTGAATTTTCTCCCCCCCCCCAACGACCATATTATTTCGTACCCCCCCCTCCCCCCTCTTCCCCCCATGAAGTTTTTATGTGATTTCAGACTGTCCTGTGTCTCTGTGTCTCTGTGTCCCTGTGTCTCTGTGTCTCTGTGTCCCTGTGTCCCTGTGTCTCTATACTTTGTCAATCTCCTCCATTGAAGAGCACCAACATCAAGACGCGAGGTATATTGTCCACGACATCAAAAATCTCTCGAGAAAAGCGGGAACAAAATTAGATAATTGAAGAGCGTCATTTTTTCGGAAAAAAATTATAGGTTGTCACATTTTTTTCTTCTGTAGTGTTTTGCTTTCCAAAGTGAGCGAGAAGTTTGTTTGTACTTATTGAATCGAGTACTTTTTTCACGCTAGAGAGATAAGGTATCTGTGTCTCATTGTATCTTTTTCACGCTAGATATCAGGTATCTGTGTCTCATTGTATCTTTTTCACGCTAGATATCAGGTATCTGTGTCTCATTGTATCTTTTTCACGCTAGATATCAGGTATCTGTGTCTCATTGTATCTTTTTCACGCTAGATATCAGGTATCTGTGTCTCATTGTATCTTTTTCACGCTAGATATCAGGTATCTGTGTCTCATTGTATCTTTTTCACGCTAGATATCAGGTATCTGTGTCTCATTGTATCTTTCTCACGCTAGAGAGACCAGATATCTGTCTCTCATTGTATCTTTTGCACGCTAGAGATCAGGTATCTGTCTCATTGTATCTTTTACACGCTGGAGATCAGGTATCCGTGTCTCATTGTATCTTTTACACGCTGGAGATCAGGTATCTGTGTCTCATTGTATCTTTTACACGCTAGAGATCAAGTATCTGTGTCTCATTGTATCTTTTTCACGCTAGAGAGATCAGGTATCTGTGTCTCATTGTATCTTTTTCACGCTAGAGAGATCAGGTATCTGTGTTTCATAGTATCTTTTTCACGCTAGAGAGATCAGGTATCTGTGTTTCATTGTATCTTTCTCACGCTAGAGAGATCAGGTATCTGTGTCTCATTGTATCTTTTTGACTGTAGAGAGATCAGGTATCTTTGTCTCATTGTATCTTTTTGACTGTAGAGAGATCAGGTATCTTTGTCTCATTGTATCTTTTACACGCTAGAGAGACCAGGTATCTGTGTCTCATTGTGTCTTTCTCACTTTAGAGAGATTAGGTATCTGTGTCTCATTATAATAACTGATATTTTACTAACAACGTCTTTCGTTATCAGGACGGGTTGAGGATAAGGGGGGTCCAGGACAGAGGGGGTGGGAAGGGGGGAGGCAGTTAACGACTCGAGACCCCCGTAAGGGGGGTTTAACCCCCGAAGGAAAAAATAAGAAAACACATGAGGATCCTCTTATATAATTATCACCTTGGGGCATGCCATTTCTATAGCATAATATACACCTTTGAATATCTGCCTTCTTATCAATGACGTGACTTGTTTTGTGTTATCTCTGTCTCTCTCTCTCTCTCTCTCTCTCTCTCTCTCATCTCTCTCTCTCTCTATCTCTCTCTTCTCTCTCTCTCTCTCTCTCTCTCTCTCTCTCTCTCTCTCTCTCTCTCTCTCTCTCTCTCTCTCTCTCTCCTCTCTCTCTCCTCTCTGCTCTCTCTCTCTCTCTCTCCGCTCTCGTCTCTCTCTCTCCTCTCTCACTCTCTCTCTCTCTCTCTCTCTCTCTCTCTCTCTCTCTCTCTCTCTCTCTCTCTCTCTCTCTCTCTCTCTCTGTCTCTCTCTCTCTCTCTCTCTCTCTCTCTACTATCTATGTTTCTTCTACTCCTACTCATGCTGTTCTTGCCCTGGCTTTCTATTATTTGTTCAATAATAAAAACAATATAATATCTGGTTATCCTGCAATTATCATTTCGGGGCGATGGGGGAGACTTGAACCGTCGTTCAGGTGATTCCCTGACACCTGATTTCTCATTTCATTTCATAGATGAAACGCTATCATCCTCGATATTGTGGGTTGACAATTGATGTGACTCTGGAGTGGATCATCTTTTCTTCTGTGCTCAAGTGGCAGGCCACAGAAGGTTGAAAATTTCATTTGGCAGCGGTTTTGGTCCCTGTGAAATATTTCTTTATTGTGGCTAACTCGTAGCTCAGTTGGTAAAGCGCTCGTCTCCCATGCTGGAGTCGAGAGTTCGAGTCTCCTGTAGTGCCCAGGTGAATGGAATGAAAGTATATATATATATATATATATACATATTTTTCCCGTGGTGTGATAATAGTTTGTATTGTATTGTACTATAAATTACATTGCCTTACTAAGATCTAGAAAACAGCATGGATTGCTCGCGTGTTAATGATCTCTATCCTGTAGCAATCACAGAGACAAAACCTTCGGGTTTCTTATAGCGTGATGATTGGCTAATAACGGAAGTATTTAAATACTTCATTGAAAGTCTTTCTCGTAGCTTCACCTGCATATTGACAACTGTCATTATACTTCATGTTAATTATGCTAATTTATGCTAAAAGTGACAAACGATTAAATAACCGATAATTGATGGAGGATACTGCATGAGGATATTTATATAATTTGATTTATTTACACAACGTGAGTCGATGAGGATGAGTGAGCAATTAGTGGTGTGGTAGCATGTTTTATGGTAGTACCACACCGTGGAGAGCGGGGGAGGGACCTGCTGCATGGGTAACAGCTTCTCCTCCGTATCAACCTACCCCGAGGCTTTACGCCTAGGAGAGGCCACTCCAGACCGCAACTCCATAGTCTCCTGAGACTGATGGATGCCTACTACTCACAATAAAGAAAATGCTAGAACAGTAATGAGACTAGTTATTAGCGGTAGTTACCTTGTTAGATGTGGTAGTTTGCTGGTAGTTAGTAGTAGACTGGTAGTTAGCCTGTGACAATAGTAGGGGTGAGTGACAGTAAGCTATTGACAGTAGCAGAGTGCGTGAGTGTCACCACCCCCTTGTCACTCTTGCAGTGTGAGTGGCAGTAACCAGTAGTTTAGTAATTAATCCACCCCCTACCCCCCCCCCCTATCCCCCAACCAGGTTAAGTGGCTGGTTCGTGGTTTTTACAAGGAAAGGTGTGTGTGTGTGTGTGTGTGTGTGTGTGTGTGTGTGTGTGTGTGTGTGCGGCTATTAACTTGTCAGAGCGCGCGAGTGCGCTTTTTTTTCACACGCGCGTAAATTGCCCCCCCCCCTCCCAGTGAGTGAAAGTGTGAACATTTTAACTACTGTCATGAACATTTGAGTGACGGGGCGAGTGACGCCCGAGTGAAGGGGGAAGGGGGGGGGGTGATGGGGAAGGTGGTGGTGGGGAGGGAAGATGATGATAAGTAAGGGTTTAAGGGGGTTTTGAAGGGGGAATTTAAGAGGGAGGGAGGGATAGAGGGAATAGAAAGAGATGGAGGATTCAAAGGAAGGGGGGTTAGGGAGTAGAGGAGGAGGAGAGAGAGAGAGAGAGAGAGAGAGAGAGAGAGAGAGAGAGAGAGAGAGAGAGAGAGAGAGAGAGAGAGAGAGAGAGAGAGAGAGAGAGAGAGAGAGAGAGAGAGAGAGAGAGACAGACAGACAGAACACAACAATTTAACCTTACCTAAACCACCCCATATACACAATTACCACATTAGAAGCTCTAAAGGGGTTAATTTCTAGAGTGAGACTGAGTGCCTCAGGCTCGTTTACCTTATCATAGTGGTTGAGTGCCAGAGGTGCCGACGGGCAGTAGTGATTGGAGTGCCGCTGATAGGCCTGTAGATACGTGGCGTAGCCCTGATACATGACTCCCGCCATGCCCCTCCTCCTCCCCCTTCTTCAGACACTCACAGAGTCCTCGAATCACTTATTCTCTTTCTCTTTCATGCACTCAAGAGGTACTCTTAGAGAGAGAGGGGATACACCTGGCGTTTCACTCGATGCCAAGTTCAATTATTGAGACGAGAAAGAAATACATCTCAAAGGGATAGGGTAGATTAGGCTATTTCTACCCCTCTCTTCACTCGCTGTCTACTTTTGAGGGATGTATATATCTACCCGTCACGCTAGAGAGACCTCGTAGTTCCGGTCACTTCTGGTTGATTCATCACCCACTAAAAAAAGGAGATTGTTCAATTCGTGTTCACTCACATTCAGGTCCACTACAGCCCACAGGTCTGGTCGGTTCCACAGGACTAGCCTTGAGTGCGGGATCGTCGCTTTCCTCTACACAGGATTGTCGCTTCTCTCTACACAGGATCGTCGCTTTCCTCTACACAGGATTGTCGCTTCACTCTACACAGGATTGTCGCTTTCCTCTACACAGGATTGTCGCTTCACTCTACACAGGATTGTCGCTTCACTCTACACAGGATTGTCGCTTCACTCTACACAGGATTGTCGCTTCACTCTACACAGGATTGTCGCTTCTCTCTACACAGGATTGTCGCTTCACTCTACACAGGATTGTCGCTTCACTCTACACAGGATTGTCGTTTCACTCTACACAGGATTGTCGCTTCACTCTACACAGGATTGTCGCTTCACTCTACACAGGATTGTCGCTTCACTCTACACAGGATTGTCGCTTCACTCTACACAGGATTGTCGCTTCACTCTACACAGGATTGTCGCTTCACTCTACACAGGATCGTCGCTTCACTCTACACAGGATTGTCGCTTCTCTCTACACAGGATTGTCGCTTCACTCTACACAGGATTGTCGCTTCACTCTACACAGGATCGTCGCTTCACTCTACACAGGATCGTCGCTTTCCTCTACACAGGATCGTCGCTTTCCTCTACACAGGATCGTCGCTTTCCTCTACACAGGATCGTCGCTTTCCTCTACACAGGATCGTCGCTTTCCTCTACACAGGATCGTCGCTTTCCTCTACACAGGATCGTCGCTTTCCTCTACACAGGATCGTCGCTTTCCTCTACACAGGATCGTCGCTTCACTCTACACAGGATATTTCACTTCTCTCTCCCTGAGTCCATCACAAATGATCGGTTCAATCGACGTCACAATAGGTCAACCCTGCCTGTGAAACCTAATTGCCTGCCCAGCAATTAGGTCCAGCAATTAGGTCCAAGGTTGCAGTCCAGCAACCAGGAGGCCTGGTCGACGACCGGGCCGCGGGGACACTAAGCTCCGGAAGCACCTCAAGGTAGGTAGGTAGGTAGCCCTTTGATTCGCATTTAAAGAAGCACAAAACTACAATCCCCTTCACAAACCCCACAGAGACGCTTGTACGGCAATTAGTAATCCGGAGATAAGTTTGTTTACGTTCTATTCAGCGGCGTTTTTCTCACACTTAAATCGAGCACCGGAACATCCGTCAACCTTCTGTCTGAAAGCTCAAATGCGCTCCGAAGCTTCGTCAGCGACTTCGGGAGATGGTATCTGGCGTTGCTGGTCAAGAGGGAACCTCTAGATGGCTAAAAACATGGTCGCGGACCGCAGTGCGGATCCTTAGCGGTGATTTACGACTCCCTGAGCCATATCCTACACGCCGCAGTTCTATTCCCAGCTTCACGAACCTGACGCATCCGCTGTGGCGGCAGCGAGATGAGTGAGATGAGCTAGTCTCAGGATGCTGGACTCCTTCCTTGCAAGGATGCTAACTGATCTCGGAGAGGCTGGAGGTCTTGGATAATGGATTGGCTGAGATGCTGGAAGGAAGATCCCGTGGATGACGGAGATGAGGGAGGCTGGAATTATTGACGGGTGGTCAACGGGGAAGGACGGGGAGGCTATCGTAATGACAGCGGTGCCGTCGCTGTTGACGGCGATGTGGTGACGGGTGACAGAGGTGACAGAGGTGACAGGGTGCTATTTGGGGTACGTAGGGCCATCGTCAGGGTTACATTAGGGCATCACCGGAGGCTTGACAGGAGTGCCAGAGATATTGGTGGTTGACAGGAGTGCCAGCGACACTGGTGGCTTGACAGGAGTGCCAGCGACACTGGTGCCTTGACAGGAGTGCCAGCGACACTGGTGGCTTGACAGGAGTGCCAGCGACACTGGTGGCTTGACAGGAGTGCCAGCGACTCTGGTGGCTTGACAGGAGTGCCAGCGACACTAGTGGTTGACAGGAGTGCCAGCGACTCTGGTGGCTTGACAGAAGTGCCAGCGACACTGGTAGCTTGACAGAAGTGCCAGCGACACTAGTGGTTGACAGGAGTGCCAGCGACACTCGTCCCTTGACAGGAGTGCCAGGGCCACTGCTGGCACTACGGGCCTCTGAGCTCTATATGCGTCACTAACTCACAGTGCGTTTAGAGTGAACGCACTCCACCTGCCTCCCACTCTACGCACCTTCACTCTATAAACATCACTACCGCTAACACTCTTCGCACTCTATTTCGTTGTAAAGTCATTTAAAGTCACTTAAATGACATTGTTAGAGGTTCTTGTGAAATTAAGCACTTGTTTCAAAGCGCACTACCGTTCAGAATGCTTAATTCTTTACAATATATTGCAATGAACAACGGTTCTATATAAATATATATTGATATATTTTAGCCTTTAGTTAATTGTTAAATGCTTTAATGCATTATTTAACTCGTTTTCTGTATTACTAAATGGTTCAGTTCGTAAAATTCAGTCTATCGTCACTGTATTGTAACTCGCTGTTCCGTAGAAGATTACAGAATTTCCTTTGACACGAAAGTCAAAGAATTCTGTTGACCAGACCACACACTAGAAGGTGAAGGGACGACGACGACGTTTCGGTCCGTCTTGGACCATTCTCAAGTCGATTGTCAAAGAATTCTGTCGAAAGTCCGTCTGTCTGGTCGCGCGAGGCGTCGACGATAGACAGGTAGCCTCGGCTCGCATGCCCCCGTCAATCTCTAAATTATTTCAATTAACTTGTGGCAATCTTGAAGTAGACGCTGGGGAAGAAATGCCGTTCCTGTTTTTGTCAATCGCAGTCAATCACGGGCCGTTGAATTTGGCGGGAAGAGTGGCGGCTGTCCTGTGAAAACAGCGACGTTACACCTCACCTCCCAGATCACGGCGCACTAATCTGAGCTGATAATGCCTATTATTATCTTCCTCCGGGACTATCCTCTTATCCAATAGTTTCAAGTCAATACCAGTCAACGGGCCCCGGTGTTCTTGCGTCGCCATGGCAACCCAGCGACAGCCAATCAATATCCTGGATTCCAGGAGCGGGGGGCGGGGCCGAGTTAAATCCCGCCCTGGGTGTTGGAAATCTCGTAGGTGATTGGGTGTTGCGGCTCTCGCCTCGACGGTGATTGGTCGGCGGTGTGTTTGGTGGAGGGAGAGGGGCCTCCGAAGGCCTTGATTGTGGCAATACATTTTGATTAGCTTATGAGGTCGAGACGGACGAAGAATGGTCCATTAGGTCGGCCATTTTGTCGTCATTTCGGAATTTGGCGTGATCATAAAGGCTTTGTTGTCGTTACTTATTGCTCGATCAGGCCCTCTGTCTCCCTGTAGCCAGGACGGGAGGTTGATGGGCGCTTCTGGTCCGTCAACTGTCGCCCTGGCCCTTCACCACCACCCCTACACTACCACCACCACCCCTACACTACCACCACCACCACCCCTACACTACCACCACCACCCACCCCTACACTACCACCACCACCCCAACTACACTACCACCACCACCACCCCTACTACCACCACCCACTACCCCTACACTACCACCACCACCACCCCTTACACTACCACCACACCACTACACTTCACTTCCCTACCACCCCTACACTACCACCACCACCCCCCTCACTACCACCACCACCACCACTACACTACCACCACCACCCCTACACTACCACCACCACCCCTACACTACCACCACCCCCCCATACACTACCACCACCCACCCCTACACTACCACCACCACCCCCCACACTACCACCACCACCCCTAGACTACCACCACCACCCCTAGACTACCACCACCACCACTATACTACCACCACCACCCCTACACTACCACCACCACCCATACACTACCACCACCACCACTACACTACCCACCACCACCCCTACACTACCACCACCACCACTACACTACCACCCACCACCACCTACACTACCACCACCACCACCCCTACACTACCACCACCATCCCTACACTACCACCACCACCCCTACACTACCACCACCAACCCCTACACTACCACCACCACCCTACCACTACCACCACCACCACCCCTACACTACCACCACCACCCCTACACTACCACCACCACCACCCCTACACTACCACCACCACCCATACACTACCACCACCACCACCCCTACACTGCCACCACCACCCATACACTACCACCACCACCACCACTACACTGCCACCACCACCCAACACTACCACCACTACCACTACACTACCACCACCCCTCTACACTACCACCACCACCCTACACTACCACCACCCACCCCACACTACAACCACCACCCCTACACTACCACCACTATCTACCTACCACCACCCCACCCCTACCCACCACCACCCACCCCTACACTACCACCATCACCACCCTACCACCACCACACCCCTACCTACCACCACCACCACTACCACCACCACCCCTACACTACCACCACCACCCACTACCACCACCACCCCCACACTACCACCACCACCACCCCTACACTACCACCACCACCACTACACTACTACCACCACCCCTACACACCACCACTATCCCTACCACCCACCACCACCACCACCCTACCATCACCACCAACCACCCACCACCACCACCACCACCACCACACCACCACCACACACCACCACCATCCACTCCCACCCCCACCACCATCACCACCACACTACCACCACCATCACCACACACCACCCCTACCCCACCACCACCACCACCACCCCTACCACCATCACCACCACCCAACCTACCACCACCACCCCACTACACCACCACACTGCCACCACCACCACTACCACTACCACTACCACCACCACCCTACACTACCACCACTACACCCTACACTACCACCACCACCCTACACACTACCACCACCACCCCTACACTACCACCACCACCCCTACACTACCACCACCACCCCTACACTACCACCACCACCCCTACACTACCACCACCACCCCTACACTACCACCACCACCCCTACACTACCACCACCACCCCCCCTACCTACCACCACCATCCCTACACTACCACCACCACCTACACTACCACCACCACCCCTACACTACCACCACCCCTACACTATCACCACCACCCCTACACTACCACCACCACCCCTACACTACCACCACCACCCATACACTACCACCACCACCCCTACACTACCACCACCACCTCTACACTACCCCTAAAACCACCCCTACACTACCACCACCATCCCTACACTACCACCACCCCTACACTACCACCACCACCACAACAATCACCACCCCTACCACCCTAAACTACTACCACCACCCCCTACACTACTACCACCACTACACTACCACAATCACCCCTACCCTACCACCACCCCACCACTACACTAACCACCACCACCCCTACACTACTACCACCACCAACAATCCACCCCTACCACCACTACTACACTACCACCACCACCCTCACTACTACACACCCACCACAACAATCACACCCCCCCCACCCTAAACACTACCACACCCCACCCTCACTACTACCACCACCACAACAATCACCACCCCTACCACCCTAAACACTACCACCACCACCCCGACACTACTACCACCCCCACAACAATCACCACCCCTACCACCCTAAACACTAACCACCACCACCCTACACTAACTACCACCACCACAACAATCACCAACCCCTACCACCCTAACACTACCACCACCACCCTCTACTACTACCAACACCACAACAATCCCACCCCTACACCCTAAACACTACCACCACCACCTCACTACTACCACCACCACAACAATCACCACCCCTACCACCCTAAACATACCCCCACCACCCCTACTACTACCACCACCACAACAATCACCCCACCCCTACCACCCTAAACACTACCCCCACCACCACCTCACTACTACCACCACCACTACAATCACCACCCCTACCCCACCTAATCACTACCACCACCACCACCACTACTACCACCACCACCACAATCACCACCCCTACCACCCTAAACACTACCACCACCACCCTACACTACTACCACCACCACAACAATCACCCCCCTA